AAATTTGAATTCTTCACTCAAAAGCGACCCACTCTGGCCCTAAGTTCTGCAGTTATCCTGGAACTCTGGGTGATTTTTGTTAAAGCAGGCAACACTGTGGGTCTCAAAGCAGCTTCAACAAACCAATCTTTGGAAGTGGGAGTAAACTGGTTGTGATCCCAAGTAAGTTTCACCCTTCTTTGCCTTTCATTCCACTCAGTAGAGCATCGCAGGAGAACCTCTGACATGACACACACTTGATCTTATGGAAAATGAGCAGAAAGGGCTTTGAAACCACTTGTATAGAAAGTGCTACAATAACAGATATTTAAAATGCTTGAATTATTCCTTTCAGACCTTTAAGTTCTTAGATATGGCAAGAACTAGGCATTAGGTTCCAGGAACTACAAGCCAAGCTTGCAGGAAGGATCCTGCTGCTACTCTTATATTGACTTTTGAAATAAACTTTTTAGGTTCTGCAGTTCTATGTCTTCTTGATTAAAAAGCCTATGTCTAAATTTCTTCCAGAAAAAAAAAAATCAATGTTGCAAAAAAGTGTTCGGGATTGCCCGAATGGGGCTCCTGCCTAAGAAAGATAATGGATCATACCAATTTTTTTATATATACATTTCCTATGATTTGAGTTAAAGCTTATCCCATTGCTGATGTTTGCATATTTTTTTCTGAGTTTGCATGATGATGATGATGATGAATTTGAGCAAAATAGAGAGTCTTAAGAATCTCAGAAAAGGGCATTTCAATTTTCCAACCCTCAAGGTCAATGTGAAAGTCTCAGTAATCCAAAGTTACTTTTTTGTGTTCTTCCTGGCATAATTGAGTATTTCTTCTGCCATATTTATGGCCTCTCTTTGACTCTGTGAATGAACAAAAACGTTTTAGTTTCACCCTTCTAAGTGTGGGATCTGTAAGAACCTTTACAATGTGTTTGCAGATAACACTGGAAAGATGTGGTCAAGATCTTAGCTTAGATCTCCACACAATGTTTACTAATCAGTGCCTCTCCTTTAATTGCCTTCCTCCTTGTTATTCTGCTCCTACCTCACCCGAGACAAATCCATGTCCCTTTGTGCCATAATCAGCTTCCTTGTGACTCTTACCGAGACAGGAAGTTTTTGTTATGTCCCGAAGTACTGTGTGAATACGGGAAGCGCAGTCTACAAAGTGGTTTTTGGAAAAGGAACAAAACTAATTGTAACACCAAGTAAGTAACTTAAACAATCGGAAATGTGTGATGACTAAGTTATACATTCTCTGTATGTTCTCCGGTCAATGAAAATTTATAAATACCATCCCTTGACCACCAGTCAAATTCAACATAGAAAACAGATAGTACTCTCTTATCCCTTGCTTTTGTCTTGGGCTAATGAGGTGATAATTAAGGACAGGCATAATTCTGTCCTGCTTACTCTGCTCAAACCCTTGATTGTTCTGAAATGAAATTCGAGGATATTTCCTTGGTGGAAACACCTCCAGCTGAAAAAAAAGCTGGAGGTGTTTTTCTATTGAAAAAAATAGAACCATATCTTTCCAAGTTGTAGTCCAGTACTTACACACTGTCTAGTTCACTTGACTGAACTCAATGGGGCTTAATTCTGAGGAAATATATGTGTCACGGCCATGTTTGTTAGGAGTCTTTAGTTCCAGTTGAAAATAATGGGCAATTTAGCAATGAGGTAGCTTCCACTGATGTACATGATTGACTTAAGTTCATCTACGTTGAATGACAAAAGTATCATTATGCAATGCTTTGGCTGGTTCATTAAAAGCAGATTATTGGAAATGTCAACAGGAAAGGTCTAGGATCTCAGCTATAAAATTAGGATCCAGAATTATTTGGTTTTCTTCCTAATGAAGGGCACAACTCTAAAAAGAAGAAAAGTATTGCCCTGTAACACAATGATTCCTTTTGTGGAAATTACTTCCCCCGATCCACATTGCCAAACAGATTGCTCTGTGTATGAGTTTATGTTGAAGAGGAAACTACTGTAGTCTTATGGAACTGAGAAGATGATATTTGGATCTGGGACAAGGTTGTGTGTAGTACCCTGTAAGTTTGCTTGACGACAACCCAGTCTTCCTTTCTCCTAAATATTTCTAGCTCTGCTGTTTGCTTGTAGATATCTTTCTACCTCCTTCACCGTGAACCATCAGTATTCTGGAAGTTGAGTCATGGCACAGTAAACCATCAGTGTTGTTTCTCTCTTTATGGTAAATCCAAAGTCCATACATAGCCCCTCACTTTCAATTCTACAACATACTTATTCATGTATCTTCCTTATGGATCTTTTCTTCCACTAAAATGAACAGGGCATGTTTCCGAAGGGGTAGATACTTACTGGATTTCTGTCCACACTGAGCTTATTCTCAAGGAGCGTCTGCAAGAGAGTTGCTGTTGTAGCATCCTTCCTTAAGTTTTTGTATTAACCTGAATTATTGTGATACTGGAAGTGGCTACAGTTTAGTCTTTGGTGGAGGCTCCAGACTTCTCGTCACACCTAGTAAGTGTTATGAACTATTTTGCTTGTTAATTGAGTTCAGAGAAGAAAATTTTGCAAGGGTCTGGAGTCCTTCTGAAGTGCTTTTGTGTTGTTTAGTTGTTTAGTCGTGTCCGACTCTTTGTGACCCCATGGACCAGAGCACGCCAGGCCCTCCTGTTTTCCACTGCCTCCCAGAGCTGGGTCAAATTCATGCTGGTAGCTTCGATGACACTGTCCAACCCTCTCATCCTCTGTCGTCCTTTTCTCCTCTTGCCCTCACACTTTCCCAACATCAGGGTCTTTTCCAGGGAGTCTTCTTTTCTCATGAGATGGCCAAAGGATCGGAGCCTCAACTTCAGGATCTGTCCTTCCAGTGAAGGACAGATCCTTCTTATGGTTTCACCATAAGACCCTTGGAGGTGTCCCCCTCAGACCTTCTCAACCCTCTTCATCATTTTTGCTTACTGTTTATTTGTCTGAATGGCCATTTCTGGGCATTTCCAGGCCCAGTACAGTCAACAGTAATTGGGGTACAAGGTGTTATTTCTCCAAATGGATGCTGTTCTCCCTGTGTTTTGAAGGCTAACATCTTTATTATGGTGTTTGTTTCATGGTTTATTTGCTAAGGTATACCAAATTTGTTTCAGGATCCTACGACTATGTTCTTTAGAAATACACAATGGATTTTACCCCCAAATGTCAACTATACAGTTCATATGGTTAGGTGTAGAATGAGAAGGAGTTGTAGACAATGAAGTAGAGAGTGACTCCTAGTTTGAAGAGAAAAACAATATATTATCAATCAAATAAGTAAGTACTGTAAGTAAACAAGTTGGAGGGAAATTAAACTCAGAAAGAGCTAAGAGTGACAGCTACTGAATTCGCACTGGCAATTCACAATAATGGCATTGCTGCGAGAGGAAGGATTTCTATGACATTTCACACTTTCTCTGCAACCTATACTTATAAACATATCCAAAACCACTTTGTAAGTCCAAACATAGGCTGCAGAAAAAGTATGACATGTCATAGAAATCAAACATAGACTGCAGAAAAAGTATGACATATTATAGAAATCCTCCCCTAGAAGTGGTAACATACAGAGACATGTTAGATGTTCATTAAGACCTGTAATGTGATTAGAAAACATTGTCTTGATTCAACGTGACAATCGCCATGTCAGAAACATTGTGACAATGTGACGTCACATCTGATCCAATTTTAAAATTATTTGCCTTAAGGTGGAGCTTTTACCATCTTCGCAAAGGGAAGAGTACTTAAGAACTTAAAAAATGCCTTAATTATAGCAGTTTAGTGATGTAATAAAGGTTGCAGAAGCAAGTTACTAGAGATGGCTACAAAAATGTTTTTGAAGAGCTTCAAACCACTGTGGTTCTACAAACACAAGAAGGATAACTTTTGGTAAAGGAACTATCCTCAAGGTGAATCCCAGTAAGTTTCATAAGTTCTTTCTACATTTCCGTACTTAAACTCTATCCAGGCATTATTAAAACCTGGTTTTCTGAGCATACATAGAGGGGAGCACCAAGTCTCTTCTCCAGCCGTCTTTGCATGCTCACATTTCTAGCACTCCATCTGAAGCGGAGACATTCCTCTTTGCATGTTGACTTTACACATGAACTCACATTTTTCAGGGCTATTGCTCATGTGTGGATAACATCCATCCATGCAGATTCACAGCAGCATTTCTTAGTTTTTAAGGAGCCCCAAGGTACTAGATGGAATCTGTATTAAGTTACACACCCATTGGAATCAATAGGATTTTGTATAGGAACACAGTTTGGATTATCTCCATGTTTAGGATTGGATTTAAACCAGTGGTTCCAAACCTTGAGTCCCCAGATGTTCTTGGACTACGACTTCTCGTAATCCTGGCCAGTACAGCTCGTGGTGAAGGATAATCCTGGCCAGTACAGTTCATAGTGAAGGCTTCTGGGAGTTTTAATCTGAGCACCTCTAGGGACGGTTGTGAACCACTGATCTTGACTAATACAAAGTGGAGAGAGAAGGTTCTTCTAGGGTGTTCTGTTGTGTGGGTTCCTGGCGAATGGAAGCAATGTGGAAATATCACCATTCATTTCCCTCTTTAACCTTGTTCTGGTAGCTTTCGCTTCCTTTCCTGGATCATTTTTTGTCAAGGCAGGAAATACTGTGGGTCTTCGAGTAGCTCATATAAGATCGTCTTTGGAAGTGGGACAAAACTGGTTGTGACACCGAGTAAGTGTCTACTCTTAATTTCTTCCACTTTTCTCATTGTAATGGCTCAGTCAGGATACTTTCCCATGCCAATCACATCCGTGCCCGTCCACCTGTCTTTAGGCTTTGATCTTATTGTGCACAGAGAGTAACGAATAAGATGGTGGTTGTCTCTAATTCCATTGAGTCTCATGCTTTCCACAAGATAGTGGCTGTAGGATTAAAGTTGTGTTTTTTGTTGTTGTTCTGAGTCCCCGAACCTTTTCTGTCATTAATTAGACTTGAGAGCAGCAGTGTTGCATGAATTTATGCTGAAGGGGAAACCACTGTGTGAATGATGCTTATAAAACCATATTTGGTTCAGGGACAAGATTGATGGTTCAACCAAGTAAGTCTTTTCTATTTGCCTAATTAGTCATATCTAATTGAAACCAACATTTTGCGTCCAGTTTCTTGTTACTTACTAACACAGTGGTGTTTTGAGGACATCTTTCTTTTTTTTAATTTTCCACTTCTGTCACCACAGAGATATAAAAATAAGGATTAGAAAAAGGATGTTTATGGGGGCGGGGGAGGTCTAGTATGACAGGTTGCCTTTTTCAACTGTTCCTTTGAGAATAATCTGGATTATAGTTAGGGGAGCAAAATGTTAATATCTCATTACTTGGGAACTGAAATCTTTGTAATTTCTTCAGGTGTTTTTTTTCCCAGTGAATGGATTGGATCAAGATGTACAGTTTAGATTTGGCTCATCGTAATCAATGGGATCTGAAAGTCTTCAGTCCCATAGATTCCCATAGGTCTAATCTCTGGTGGAAGTCCTGTTCAAGTGGATTGAAATCTCAGTTGAAAGTGTAAGAACTCTGTTTGCTTCTGTAGAAGGACTCTTTCAATTTGTGAAGAGGCAGTGTGTATGTTGTTGTTTAGTCGTTAAGTCATGTCCGACTCTACGTGACCCCCATGGACCAGAGAGCACGCCAGGCCCTCCTGTCTTCCACTGCCTCCCAGAGTTGGGTCAAATTCACGTCGGTCACTTCAATGACCCTGTCCATCCTTCCTGTCCTCTGTCGTCCCCTTCTCCTCTTGCCCTCACACTTTCCCAACATCAGGGTGTTTTCCAGGGAGTCTTCTCTTCTCATGAGATGGCCAAAGTCTTGGAGCCTCAGCTTCAGGATCTGTCGTTCCAGTGAGCACTCAGGGTTGATTTCCTTCAGAACGGATAGGTTTGTTCTCCTTGCAGTCCAGGGGACTCTCAAGAGCCTCCTCCAGCACCACAATTCAAAAGCATCCATTCTTCGTCGGTCAGCCTTCTTTATGGTCCATCTCTCACTTCCATACATCACTACTGGAAAACCATAGTTTTGACTATGCGGACCTTTGTCAGCAAGGTGTTGTCTCTTCTTTTTAAGATTTGTCATCGCTTTCCTCCCAAGAAGCAGGTGTCTTTTAATTTCGTGGCTTCTGTCACCATCTGCAGTGATCATGGAGCCCAAGAAAGTAAAATCTGTCACCGCCTCCATATCTTCCCCTGTGTATACAAGGGATTATTTTCCATGGACATCTCAAATCTGACAGTAACTCCATCCCCTGCCCCCCCAGTTCCATTCTTATATCATTGCACCTTGGAGAATTTTTGTCAAGACAGGAAACACGGTGTATATACTGGTGGCTTTCAGAAGGTGACCTTTGGAAGTGGGACCCAGCTAGTTGTGACAGCCAGTAAGTTTCAGCTACACTCCTTCACTCCTTTTGTTCCGTTAGATATAATTAGTCAGGTAGCCTTCCATGGGAGGGAATTCCCAGATATTTAGAAGGTGTCTGTGTTGAGGAACTTAGAATACTCTGTTAGAAAGCCTGTGAAGTACAGGAGAGAATTCTAAGTAACTCACCAAACTATGTCTCACAATTCCTTAAGATGGAATAATTGCAGTTAATGTGGTGTTGGACTACTCCAGCTGTGTAGACTTGATACACCTTTGGTTTTGTCCAAACGGAGCGTAATGGAGCAACTAGACAATTTGTGCTGGTGTACAAAGCAACAGCCGTTCACCCGGTGCAAGGAAATCAAGGAACCGACACCTTCCATTTTGAGACAAGTGGAATAAGATAGGACCAGTCTGTTGATTGCCGTTCTTCTACTGGGCAATGCCCCTCTGTGTGTGTGTTGTCTCGAGGCAAAATATTTTCTCTGATGTGTGACCTGTCATAAGTATAGCATGATATAAGTTTCTGCTAAGGTGAAAATCACTGTGTAAGTTACGGAGACACAACAGCATTTGGATCTGGGACACGTCTGCTTGTCCTACCCTGTAAGTCTGTTTTGTTTCAATAGCAGATCCTGGCAGCCACTAATTCTTCATATATTGCTGTAAAAATGGTGGGTCCCAAAGCAGCCCCCTCCCCTTTTTGGTGGTACGTACGTATATCCCTGTTTGTACCTGTCCATTTACAACTAGGGCTGTGAACAGGTCCCCCCCCCCCCCCAGTTACGGAGACACAACAACATTTGGATCTGGGACACATCTGCTTGTCCTACCCTGTAAGTCTGTTTTGTTTCAATAGCAGATCCTGGCAGCCACTAATTCTTCATATATTGCTGTAAAATGGTGGGTCCCAAAGCAGCCACCTCCCCTTTTTGGTGGTACGTACATATATCCCTGTTTGTACCTTTCCATTTACAACTAGGGCTGCGAACAGGTCCCCCTCCCCTGATCCACTCCAGAGGGCAATTCAATCCAGAAGGCTTTGTGTCCTGTTTGATTTGGTTTCCACCCTGGATCCAATTTGGTTTATCAACATCTGTCGACCTTTATTGGAAAACCAAAATGGCTAGAACTTGTTGGTTGGTTTTCACACTGGTGTGGATGAAAGTGGGATCCAAGACAGATAGTAAAAAGAGGGTTATGCATGCCTTTTTGTGGGTTGTGTACTGGGCACCTTTAACTTTTGTCTTAAAAGAAGAGAGGCTGAAAGTTACCAGAAACGAGTCATTTTATAAGCTAGTTTCACTTCAGCCTGAAACCCAATCTAGCCAGGCGACTTCAGTTTGGAACCGGTTTAAAAATGGACTGTGAATGGCAAAGGAAAACAAGCAAGTAAACTGAAGTGAGTGCCACTAAAACTGGCGGGGCGTTCTTGCCAAGGTAGAAATCACTGTGTCTAATACGGGTTACAATAAGGTCACCTTTGGAAGTGGGACTAGGCTGGTAGTGACACCAAGTAAGTATCAACCCTTGATGCTTCCTGCACAGCATGTCAAAATCCCTTCCCTCACCGTCTTTTCCCAACTGAGTCCACCAAATGTTTTGTCTGATTTTGCTGTTACATAGGTTTAGTTTAGACCAGTGGTTCCCAGCCATGGGTCCCCAAGATGTTCTTGGACTACAACTCCCAGAAATCCCGGCCAACGCAGCTAGTGGTGAAGGTTTCTGGGAATTTTGATCCAAGAACATCTGGGAATCCAAGGTCGAGAACCACTGGTTTGGACAACCAGGCATAGCAAACAAGTCATGTCTTGTAGTAATGTGCCCTTTGAGTTGCAGCCACATATCATGGGGGTAGTGCTGCTTGAATTTATGTTCAAGTGGAAAACACTGTGGGAGCTATAGGGAGATTACTTTCGGCTCAGGGACAAGACTGACCGTCCTACCCAGTAAGTTTGCTGCTTTGCTCCAATTCTTCAAATTTTATCACAGCTGGATTTTCTTTTTCATTGCCCTATCCCTGATCCCAGGCTCTCATCAATAATGTGCACTTTCAATTTGATTTATTATTATTATCTTACTATCTCTTTCTGTTCTGTGTCACAGGCTTGGATTGTGTGTGTGTGTGGGGGGAGAACCACAAATTATGTAAGGACTTGAGAGGGAAATGATGGTGGACAAAGGGTTTTGCAAATGAGGGAAGGTGTGAAATTAGCAAGAAGGAATTTGTCCAGTAAAACTCTGTGGTTCTTTGTGAGGCAGGTGTGCAAATGTGAATTGCCTAGCCTCTCACTCTGAAACGGAGGATTAAAAAAATCTCTTTACTATGAGATTTTCCCTCCACAAGAGCAATTTTGTGAGAAATCTTGAAGAGAATCTTAGATGTTTCCTGATCATTTCTTTTTTTTTCCTGAAAGAAATGTTAAGTCTTGGAAGACTGTTACAAATCCTACACAGGATGGTGTCTGTCCTGCATAGGATTCACTGGAAAGAGATTTAGCCTGCACAAAATTTGGCAGGTTTCTACACAGAACCATGTTTGTAGGGAAGGGAAGGAAAACGAGATGGGATCTCGTTTTTGTGAGATGCCCGGAGATCTTGCTTCGAGCGGAGTGTAGGGGAGAATTTTAGTGGGGAGTCTTGACACAACAAAACTAGGGAAAGCACTGGGAATGAAAAATATTGTCAGCATTTGTTAAATCCCTGGCAGGCGATTTACAGCCTCTTGATCTTCCTTCTCATGACTGCCTCATCCATACCCCCAGAATGATGACATGGATTTTAATTCCTCTCTTTGCCAACCATGTAGAATCTGGGTTTGCTAACTAGGACCCCAGGGATAAACAATGTGTTATTTGTGATCTGTTCTGTATCACCATCTGTTTTGAACCCATCTTACCTGTACCTGCTTGTGTGTGTGTTTGTGTGTGTGTATGTTTGTTTGTTTTACTATAATCCTAGCCTGGGTTTCCTAACTAGGACCCCAGGTAAACAATGTGTTATTTGTGATCTGTTTTGACCCCATCTTACCTGTAACTGTACCTGCTTGTGTGTGTGTTTGTGTCTGTGTATGTTTGTTTGTTTTACTATAATCCAGCCAAAGATAGCATAGTATACATTATGCAATGTCACATCTTCTTGAAAGACACACTGAGTTGAGTTGCATTGCAAGACACAGATACTGGGTTTTTGTTATGGCCAGTCTGGCTGTGTGAATACTGGGAGCTACAAAGTAGTTTTTGGGAAAGGTACAAGCTTGATAGTGAGGCCAGGTAAGGAATTTCAAATAGAAGAAGCACAAAACCATGTTGTGATGTGTTCTGTTTGCACATGCTTTTGAACACTGACTAATATTACACAGATAACAGTCATGCTAGAGGACAGTGAACATCTATTTAGCCTAGTATCCTGTTTCCAACTGTGAGCACCTAAATGTTTTAAGGGTTAATACCAATGATAAATTAGGGTGAGAAACTGAGGAGGAAAAATCCTTCTTTTGTCCTCCAGGAGAGATTTCTCTGTCCTTTCCCTGGGAAAATTTTGTGGGAAATCTTGATGGTATTTTTTGGATTTTCTGCCATTTTTTGATTCTGCACACATGAATGTCTCCCTCCCACCACAAAGGAGACACTAATGTGTGCAGAATGATTACAATTCCTACACAAAAAGGTGCATTTCCTGCACA